CAACAACTGGGAGGAAAATTCTGATTCCTGGGGTAACGGGGCCACAGTGAAATTCTCCGCTCCCCTTCCTCCAATCTCGGACACCCCACCCCGGCCGGGTGCCCCCCGCATCGGTGATGGGGCATTCATTGGAGCCTAGGGCCCCATGACTGCTATAAACCGGTAGGCACATGTAGCACAATAAAAACAAAAAACCTCAAAACCAATACATAACCATAGTAATCTAAGGATTGAGCAACCAGCTTGTGGCCAAATGAGAATACCGGAGCCCCGGCATTCTCAGTAGGCCTGAAAACAGTACAATGGCCGGAGGGCCGGAGTCAGTCCGCGAAGGTTCGTTAATAAAGGATACACACGTAGGGCTTCCAAGGGCCGGTTGGTATGACCGAGGCCGTGGACTTGATTGGAGTTGGTCAACGTGTGAGGAACGTCCCCAGTCTGAGGATACAGTTGGCCAGATGGAACTTCGATTCAGGAAGACAGGCCATCCGGGAAGGTGATGGGAGCAGGCGACGACTGACCATTCAGAGCTCAGCGGTATCAGGAGGATCTTCCGCCCGACGGGCGGGAGGGGCCGATGCGGACGGTCGGGTAGGTAGGCAAGCCAGTCAGGCACTCTCAGAGGGGGCATCCGGAGCAACTCACATAGGCCTGGCACATCCGCCGGGGTCCGGACCGTGTAGGAGATTCCCTCCTTGCGGACGTGCAGGCGAATCGGGTATCCCCATCTGTAGGAGGCGCCGGCCTGGAGAATTACCGAGAGGAGAGGCCGAAGCAGGGCCCGGCGCCATAGGGTGTTGCGTGAGAGGTCGGGCAGGATCTGTAGGGCCGCCCCGTCGAATTCGACTGCTTCCTTTAGCCAGGCCTGGCGTAGGATGTCTTCCTTCATGGAGTATATTTGAAGCCGGCACACGACGTCTCGTTGGCGTGATACGTCCGTTGACGGTGGGCCTAGAGTGCGGTGCACCCTATCCAGGCGGATGGAGTCCGGGGCCACGTCGGGGAGCAGGGATCCAAAGACCGCTTGCACCGAGGAACGGAGATCAGCCGGGTTAGTCGCCTCTGGTAAGCCCCGAATCCTTACATTTTGCCGCCGGTTGCAATCCTCGAGGTCTTCCAGCCATAGTTGGAGGGACTTTATATTTAAAATTTATTTTGTTATCTGAAGGTGATCTCCCCCTTTGGGTTTTGAGAGAGCACTTTCACATCCATTCACATCTAGACCGAGCGCAACTTATTTGCCACATAATAGACTCACTTATACACAAAGTTGCTGCTGGTCTATTTAGTTATTTAGATTTCGAGTCACTCATTCCCAGCGCAGTGATTTTTGATTATTACTATAGTTGGAGGGCCGCTATCAGCTGTTAGGCCTCCGGTTGCGAGTGCTCCAAGGCCTGGACCCTGGTCTCCAGGGCCGTACACGTGGCGGATACCGCGGTCACTTCGGTAGACACCGACTGGATTTTCTGCTGGACCTTGCGTAGGTCGCGTTGGAGAGCCGCCTCCACCCTGGTGACTATGGCCGCAAAGTCCTCTTTGGTGGGCAGATAGTTGAGTAAGGCCCGAAACTCCTGCGGGACATCGGACGGTTGCTTACGGGTCGGGTATAGGTCCACATCCGTGGAGTCCGAATCGTGTATCCGAGGAGAGCGTGTCTCGGAGCATGTCTCGGGGTTGGAGAAAGGGAACGGGCAGTACCTTGTGGCGTGCGTGGAGGACGGGGCTTGGACGCCATGTTGGACTGGTCCCGGCCACAGGGCCTGTTCCTTGTGGAGGTAAAAAACTGTTGCATAGATGGGGTTCCCCGCTGAGAAGCTGGTGTGCCCTCCTTCCTGCGTTTAGACATTGTTTGTGACCCGGTTTGGGGTGGTACAAGTAGGTAGTAGTAATGTCTAGATAGCAAACTCCAGGGAGCTCTCTGAATCTGCTGCTTACTCCGCCATGAGCAGGACACGCCCCCATGAAGGACCGTTCTTGTCAGACCAACCTACTAACATTCTATGAAGAGATGAGTAGAATGCTGGATAAAGGAAGGCCAGTAGATGTGGTTACCTGGATTTTGCCAAAGCATTTGACACAGTACCACATAAACGCTTAATACACAAGCTTAAATTGATGGGCATAGATGAAATGGTGCGTACATGGATAGAGAACTGGCTACAGGAATGATTGCAGAGAGTATTGATAAATTACTCTTTTTCAAATTGGTGTAAGGTTGAGAGTGGAGTGCCCAGGGTTCTGTTCTAGGCCCAGTACTATTTAACCTGTTTATTAACGATATTGGGGAGGGCCTCAATAGCCATATTTCTGTGTTTGCAGGTAATACTAAAATTGGGAGGGTAATAGACACAGGATTAGACATTATAACATTACAGGAGGACCTGGATAAAACAGGGGAGTGGGGTACTACATGGCAGATGAGGTTTAATGTCGAAAAATTTATAGCAATCCACTTTGAGGTTAAAAACGGGGAAGCGGATTACACATTAATGGGTACCCTACTAGGGAAATCAGAAATGGAAAAAGATTTGGGGGTCATAATTGGTCACAGATTGAATAACAGCACGCAATGCCAAGCAATGGCAAACAGAGCTAGCAGAGTACTCTCTTGTTTTAAAAAGGGAATGTACTGTAGAGACAAAGTGATAATTTTGCCACTTTATAGATCACTGGTTCGGCCTCATTTTGAATATGCGGTTCAGTTTTGGTCACCAGTATACAGAAAAGATGTCCTTGAGCTGGAGAAGGTCCAAAGAAGAGCAACTAAGCTAATTAAGGGGCTGGAGGATAAAAGCTATGAGAAAAGGTTGCTAAATTTAAACTTGTTCACAGTGGAAGTGAGGAGATTAAGAGGGGACATGATTTTGTTGTACAAAATGTTAAGCGGTGAAACGATTTATCCACAAAGGGCATAGGGGATTCTTTTCAGTTAGAGCGGTTACATTTTAGAACTCTCTGCCACAAGCAGTGGTATCTGCAAAGAATCAATTAGATATCACCCAAATATCATACGAAAAATCAATTAGATATCTCCCTAAGAGACCGTAACATACAGGTACAGGTACACTTAAATACTACACCACACAGGGAATCTTATATACACGCATGCACTACACACACACACACACGTTGAACTTGATGGACCTGTGTCTTTTTTAAACCTCAAATACTATGTAACATAGTACAGAGGTCAACAGTAAACACAGAGTGCAGAGGTCAGTTGTAACACAGAGTTCAGCGGTAAACTCAAGAACAGAAGTCAGCAGTGTGACAGAGGTCAGTGTTGTGATGCACAGTACAGAGGTCATCGGTAAACACAGAGTGCAGAAGTCAGTGGTGTAACACCCAGTATAGAAGTCAGCAGTGTGACCAACACAGCAGACGTCAGTGGTGTGATGCACAGTGCAGAGGTCAGCGGTGTGAGATACAGTAGAGAGGTCAGCGATGTGACATACAGTGCAGAAGTCAGCGATGTGACATACAGTGCAGAAGTCAGTGATGTGACACAGCGTGCAGAGGTCAGCGGTGTGACACAGCATGCAGAGGTCAGCGGGGGTGACACAGTGCAGAGGACAGCGGGGTGACGCACAGTGCAGTGGACAGCGTTGTGACGCAGAGTGCCAGGAGTTATCGGTGTGACACACAGTACAGATGTCAGCGGTTTGACGCACAGTGGTTGATGTTTTGTTATTATTATTATCATTATACAAGATTTATATAGCGTCAACAGTTTGCGCAGCACTTTACAAAACTGAGGGCGTTAACAGTACAATTTCAGTACAGGAGGTAGAATGGCCCTGCTCTTAGGAGCTTACAATCTAGTAGGAGGGGCAAGCGATACAAAAGGTAATAACTGTTTAGTATGATTTAATGGAAGAACTGAAAGGACGGTTATATGGTGGTGGAATAGGCCTCTCTGAAGAGATGAGTTTTCAAGGATCGCCTAAAGGTGGCCGGAGTAGGAGATAAGTAGACAGATAGGGGTAGGGAGTTCCAGAGGATGGTGCGACTGGAGGCGAGGAGGTGACAAGAGAGCTGGAGTGTAGGAGGTCTTGGGAAGAGCGAAGGAGGCGGTTTGGGTTATATTTTTAGATGAGGTGGGTGATGTAGGTTGGGGTGGAGTTGTAGATGGCTTTGTAGGTTATTGGTAGTATTTTGAACTTCATACGTTGGGCAAGTGGGAGCCAGTGGAGCAATTGGCAGAGGGGGGTGGCGGACGTTGATCGCTTGGTAAGGTAGATGAGTCTAGCAGCAGCGTCCATGATAGACTGAAGGGGGATAGTCTGGTAGGCCAGCAAGGAGGGAGTTATGGTATTTGAAGCAAGATATTTCAAGGGAGTGAACTAGAAACTTTGCAGTGTCATTTGTTAAAAAGGGACACATTTTAGAAATGTTACGGAGGTTGAGTCGGCAAGATTTGGATATGCCGAGCACCCAGGCTTGATGGGAGGGGTTGATTGTAGTGCTGTTGATTGTGATGGAGAAGTCTAGGGAGGAGACCCGGAGAGGAGGAAATATTAGCTCAGTTTTGGACACATTCAGTCTGAGAAAGTGGTGTGACATCCATGTGGATATGTCAGTGAGTAGATTAGTGATGCGTGAAGAGATAGAAGGGGTGAGCTGAGGGGTGAAGAGATATATTTGAGTGATATCACAGCTATACTTTTAAAATGTTTGTAATAAAGGGACACAGTCCTGCTAAATTAATTAAATACATTATATGTGCATATTTTAGTTTTCATTATTTTGTACAAGTCTACTGTGCTTCTATCTTTCTTTTGTGGGTATTAGTCAGTTACTGTAGACTCCAGACTATTAGAACTGGGTTTGTAGGTCTTGTCTTTTTTGGTCCTAGGTCATAGGTACCTTGCCATACTTTGCTCTGTGCTTGTTTTTATGGCCATAGTGTAGACTTTTAGAGTTTAGAAAGAGGGTTTATTGGGAAGTACTGCTTAAAATGTAAACACATTTTTACACAGAGAATAACAAATACTTACGCTAGGATTGCGGAAAGGGAAAGCATCTCTGCCGTGAGATAAGACAAATATGAAATTACGAAAACAAATCCAGGTTCAATGATCCTCACATGTTTGGTAAATCGAGTAACCAAGCTCAAAATGTATGCAAAAATGATTCCAACTAATGTTCCCCCGATGCTTACGACAAAAAAAGATACTGAAAAAGATAAAAACAAAAAATCAAATGCAAGAATAGTTGCAGTACAAAGTATATAATACAATCTTGTGGTATAGACAAATACTTAATTGTGTGTATTTATAAAACGTTTGCAGAGATCTTCAAACATCTTAGGTTTATATTTGCATCACAATATGGCCACTAGTTGGCGCCTCAGTTCCATCTAGTGGTGATAATGTGGTGCAAATCGAAAACTAAAGCTGGCAATACACTGCTTAGATTTTTTCGAAAAAACTTTAGTACGAAAGAACTTTCTATTAGTGGATGAAGTCAAATCAACGATCGTTTTCAACTGTGGGGGCAAAAAAAGATGAAGGAGCAGGATGGAAAATGTTTCTGGAATTAACTAAATTCAAACAGTGAATGTGACTTTCATTCGGAACACTCCATTCATTCCAAAATTGAATAGTAACATAAAATAAAATTTCGTTCGACATTCATCAAGTGTCTGATGGTATTATCAGACACTTGAAGTAAAGAAAGATCTTATATTGGTAAAGAAAAATCTTTCATTTGGAAATCTACTAGTGTATGGCCAGTTCAAGCGTGGTTATATCTCCATTGCACACCAAAACGATATTCCCCTTGTTAGTCAGGCGATTGAAGAACTGGTGCCACATCAGACATTAAGCTTCAGAATTCTGTCTTTATTGACATTCTTCCAGCATAAAGAAATGTTGCAACATATCAGTCCCTTCGTCAGGCAAAGAGTCATCTTTATGCTGCAAGATTATCAATAAAGATGCAATTCTGAAGCCTAAGGACTACAACTAAGCTCCGCAAACAGCTCTGAAAATGTATTTGCTTATGAAAACTGTATATGGTGCAGCATGAGGCCAAACACACTGAAAAATTACTTTTGGGGTATACACTTTAATGACTAAACTAAAAGATACGTATTATTATTCTCTGAGTTGAGTACCTAACAAAGCTTTATATTGCTTCGTTTTGCTCTCCAAACTCTGAAACTCCCAGGTAAAAAACGTCATCAAATTTTAACAAATAAACTGATAACAAGTCAAATTCATCCATAGGTGGCAACGCATACTATATGTATAAAAGAAAGCTGCTAGTTACAATTCAACTTCACCATTTAGTTAACAGGAAAATTACAGCACAAATGCAGGTACCACCATTTAGTGTCTTTATTGATCTTCATTTTAAATAACACAGATGTTTCACCATGCAGCTGCATATCTCTAACATGTTTCACCACACAGGCTTAATCATAATGAGTGGTCCTAGCAACCATTGACTGCAGAGGATGTGGACACCTGACGTCATTGGTTGCTAGGACACCAGCGGTCTTCGCAACCAATGACTGAAAAAGAGGGGGTCTGCACTGGGCTATGGCCTTTGGGGCCGGCTCATCCACTGTCAGCCAGCCATAACCGAGTGCAGGTTGGCGATCATTCCTTGTCCAGACTGTGGAGCCACGGGCCATAAAATGCCCAGGTCTGCCATACTGTTTACTGGAAATGCCATTAAGCAGAATGACTATTACATACAGTTAGGCATAAACACACTGAGGAGAATTTATCAAAACTGGAGCAGACAAAATCTGGAGCAGCTGTGCACATCAACGAATCAGCTTCTCTCTTTCATTTTCAAACCTTAACTGATCAAACTGAAAAGAGAAGTTGATTGGTTGCCCTGGGCAACTGCTCCAGATTTTGTCTGCTCCAGTTTTGATACATTCCTATTACTATGCTGATAGTCTTCAATAATTTAACACACAGTACTTGCATTCCACTAGTTCCCAATCTTGCTTTAGACGTTTAAGCATGTATCAAACTTTAGTATATATAGTAAGTCTTGTGCATGTACATACAGCACACTTTTTTGGAAAATATATCAATACATTTTTTTTACTAGTATATCATGATACACAATGTTAATTATGTACAGCATATCTCTTTGTACTTCTCATTAGCTTTTCCTTGCCATGGGATTGGGTCTTCTCATAAATGTCATGACTGCACTGAAAATGTTTCTATAATCTGTAGATTAGCGTTCCTCATGATGCTCCATAATCAAAGCATATTACTCTGTGTTCTGTATTGGAACTACCAAACAGCCAATCATAGTGATCACATAGGTTAGTTTACAAAACAGACAGAGAAAGGCACAATGATGGCACAATGATAGCTGAAGCTGCAGGTGTTAGGCTCCTTTCACATGGGCTGATCAGGAGAAGGTCTGTTGATTTCTCAGAGCAGTACGGAGCAGACGTCCATACAGTTTTTTCCTCTATCTTGCAATGGAGGAAAAAGTGTCCGTTTACATCAGATTACCCCTGAACCTACACGATCCGGTCTGGTGAAGCGAAACACTGTCCCAGTAGTTTTCCTGGACCTGGCCGGAGGTGGGCGTAACCCGGTAATCTGTGTCCGGACAGTTTTTTCCTCCATCTTGCAGTGGAGGAAAAAACTGCAATTACCGAACCCCATGCCAGTCTATGGGGGTCAGATTACTCCTGAACTAGCATGATCCAGTCACGCGAAATGGAACACTGTTCCGTTCATTTGCATCAGATTATCCCTGAAACCAGGATGATCCGGTCCTGTGAAACGGAACACCGCTCTGTTCATATTCCTGGACCCGGCCGGAGGCCTGTCCGTTCACACACGACTGCCCATAGACTTGCATTGGACATCCAATTGGGTCCGCCTGAAAAACTGACAGGTGGACCCGATCGGAGCAGTCGTGTGAAAGGGGCCTTAAACTAAAAAAAGACAATAAAAAAATTAAAGAACAGTTTTATTATTAAAAAGTAAAAGTCGTCATGTGTAAAATGCATTTAAGAAAAACTATTTTGCGTACATTTTTCAGCTCATAATAAAAAACATATTTATTATGTAGGATATTTATTAAAACAGCATATCAAATAAATATCCTTACAATTTCTTCCTAGGTAGGCAAGTTAGTTATAGCATTATAGTCAAGATGAATATTGATGCTGCTAAATGTGATCAGGGTATCTAGGTTTCAATGACCACTAGTCAGGAAAGGGTTAAACTGTTGAAAGCTGATAGGTTAGCATGAAATGTTTTTAACATTTCCTTTACCATTTTCATATTAAATAAAATTGTCTTTGTTACTAGGGAGGCAATAAATATAAACACATTTTAGCACCTAAAGCTATGGAAACCTACAGATTTAGCCTTTATGTCTGGGCAAGTACAGAGAAACATAAAAATATGAAATAGTGTGCTTAATTTGAATAGAAATCAATATCCTAAATAAACATTCATATGACCGATTGTTGCATCATCATGATTTGCGCAAGCATAAGAATGTAGCATTGTTTGGCTGTGGCTAGAAACAAGTGAGGTCAACACTATGCTTTGTGTAATCTCAAGTCCTCCTTTGTTTAAACTGTAAAGCAGAGACAAAGCAACTACATAATATGCTTACTGAGTTGCTCAATGTATTCATTGGTATCTAGTTTACAGAGAGGCTTTAAAAGCACCTTAATCATATTCCAGCTTTAAAATGGCTGCTTAGCTATTAAATGACAACTATTGTAAATATATTTTTATCTATACTGTATGCTCAGCTTAATGTAGATGCACTTATTCTAATATTTTTAAATTTTCTTTCATAGATTTCCAATATTTTCCTTGTGCATGCAAAAATGGCAAAAATGTTAAAATGATAACAGGTAAAAATTTACTTTGCAAAGAATCACGAGCAAGGAAAATTAAAAAAAACTATTTTTGCTTGAACATGATTCATTAAGCTAAGGGAAAACTAGCAAAGTGCAAATTCTCTTTCAAAGTGAACAGCCTATTTCCTTTTAGTAAATCAACCCTATTAGGTTTTGTATCTTGGCATTTTAGCAGAGTTGTGAATACACTGCCTAATATGTAGATAGCAACAAGAAGTAACATTAACAAATACTGTCTGGATCCACCCAGCTGCGGGATTGACAGCTGGCTCTGCCTATCTAGAGGCAGAGCCAGTTGTACCCACCCCCTCCCTGTCCGTTCCGCCAGTCAGCGCTTGAGGATCGGACAGGGGAGGGGTGGAATCCCTGCAGGGAGCCGTAAGGGACAGTCACGGCTCTCTGCAGGGATAGATCGAGAAGTGAGCAAGCGACGGTATGTGTTCGCTCACTTCCCGATCTATTGACAGTTTAATTGTCACAGGTCGGCTAGAACTATGAGGCTGAGTGATTTTCATTCACCTCATAGTTCTCTTTTAAGTATGGCAAGAGTATAGGAAAAACCTTATTTGTGCACCCCACATACATGCCATACTTTACTGTGGTATTGATTAGACCATCCTTCTTAAAAGATAACTGTACTAAAATTGTAGTTATCCTTTAAAAAAGTTTGGAGGTTTCACAACCAAGTAGTATTTTCAGTTTTCTTAGAAATTATATTAACTTATTCTAATTGTTAAAGTCTCCTAAACAGTTTTTTTTCTGGTAATCAAGTGAATACTGTAAAATAGCAGCATAAAATACTCTATTGATATAATTTATTTTATCTATACATACCAACGCCTTTGACGCAATCCACACCTGTCACATTTTCACCTCCAATAGCAACAAAGGAATCAAAAACGTTGTATAATACCTACAAAAAAATAAAAAAATCAGATTATTATTTGTATGTGCTTAAAGAGATTGTACTACCTTTTTTGCAAAGTTTGTTTCTATCAAGGGATCACAATACAGGCTATTAAATTGTATGATTGTACACAACTTCTTCTGCTCTTATTAGATCAACAAAGGCTAAAAAGAAATGTTATTATCTTGAAATTTCTGGCTTTGATTATTTACTTTTAATGCTTACTGCTATTATGCCTCTCCCATATACCAAGGCGGGGTCTCTCACAATAATACCTTTTTTACCTGCAAAATTTCTTGTAAAGTTTATTTTTCATTTATTGCGTATATTTTGAAGGGGAAAAACTGAATTTTTGCCTTACCTGTAAAATACATTTCTGTAAGTAATTCACAGGACACAGGGAGTTAAATCTTGAATAGATGGTTCAGGAAGCTACCTTTAGGTGATTCGACACTGGCAAATCAAAGCTGTTAGGACAGCCCTGTATAACCCCCGCCCCACCCCCTTTATCTTCCCCTTCCTTCCCCCTTTCGAACTTCCTCAGTTTCATAGCAAACAGTACAAGGGTGGATCACAGAAACACAGAGGTCTAGTGAGCAATGAAGATCACCGGAATGCCATCTATTAGAATCCTGAGGAGGAGTCGAATCAAGAGTTTCAGAGAAAGGAAAGCATAGATCAGACTGAACTGATCCCACAGAGGAGAAGATCATCCAAGTGCCCCACTATAGGGATCCCTGGAGACCAAAGCAGAGCCAAAACAAAGGCCAGCACCATGGTGAGGAAACAAGGTGCAGTGGACAGAGTGAATGGAAGGGCAAACATTAGTAGTGCTGTGTGTCTGCAGCAAAACACAAGTAGTGTTGATGGGCAGGAAAAATGAAGACATGAAAATATGCATCTTCCATGTCCACTGATGCCAGAAAGTTTCCCAGTAAAGGGAAACATTGACAGCGTGGGTAGATTTTATATAGAATTTTTGGACTCTCGGGAACCCATTGAGAATCTTGAGATCGAGAATAGGGCAGAATCTCCCCCCACTTCACTTTGGGGACAATGAACAGGTTGGACTAAAACCTCTGGAACATTTCTGCCTGACTATGATGCCCTGAGAAAAGAGCTGTCAGTAAGAAGATCCATCTGTCTTTGAGGTGATCTTGGTAAGTTTGACAGCAGAAAATGAGGGCAGGGTAGGAAGCAAAACTCAAGAGATTTGTCTAGGGGTATCCATGTGGGCCATCTACACAGTAGAGCAAGTCCACAGAAAAAAACCCTTTAACTGACTTAGAGCAGCAAGATTTGCCAGGATCAACTTAGGGTCCCTAACCATAGCTTTTGACCACACAGATATGGTATGACACTCTCCCATGGTGGCAGCAGCAGGTTTTATAGCAGGGTCTTTAAGGGCAAATAAAGCATTAAAGAGGGCTTCTAAACTCTAGTCCACGCAGTCCTTAAAACAGGAACATCTTCTTCTATCGTCTAACTGGGACAGCTACAACAGGGACAACCCATTTTTTAAGGAAACCCTCTTCAATAGGGTACAGTTGAGAAACACATTTAGGAGTAAACAATTTTACTAGGTGATCCCAGTCACAATACAACACCGGCTGTAAAAGTTCATGTACAGGGAAGGTTTTGGCAGGTTTGACCATTTAAAAAAAACACCTGAGGGGGTCCTAGGCATGGCGGAGTAAGCACACTTCTTGTCCCAGCTGTCCGACCCCATTCGATACACGTACCTTACCACAGCACAGCAAAACGAGGCAGAAGAAGACGCCCGTCACTCCGAAACTGTCAGCGCTGGGCAAACTGAAAAATGTCTTCACTTCGGCGGCCCCGCCGACCGCGGATATAGTTCTCCAGCTCAACCGGCGCTGCCGTCCCACGCGTCACCGACCGCCCTCTGGCCCTCCCTGCCTTCCTCTCCTGTGCCAAGTGACGATGAAGACACGGAGGAGTCCTCTCAAGTGCCAAGGTTAGTGGAAGATGTGCAGTCTATGACCCCTGATCAGCAGCAGCCCCTGGAAGAGGTGGATATAGGGGCTTTGCTGCGCCTGCTGCCCACCAAAGCTGACATTGAGGCCCTGGTGGCAAAAATCGAGGAGACTCACAGCCGAGATATCCAAGAACTGTGGCAGAAGGTGCAACAGCTCAGCGAGTAGATGGAGGCGAGGCGAACACAGCGACTGTAGAGGTGAGACTAGCAGCCCTGGAAGAGTCCTGGGACATGCAATCGGATATGATTTCTGACATGCAGCTCCATATTGAGGTCTTAGAGGATAGAAACCGACGCAACAATTTACGGGTGCACTGAAGCCACGAGTCTGGAAAATGTACATGATACAGTAGTGGCAATCTTCAACACCCTGCTGGGTAATCCGCCCAATACAGTGGTTAAATTGGATTGTGCGCACAAGATCGGAGAACCCAGACCGGCCCGTGACATTATCTGCAGATTACAGAAGTTCCCGGTCCAGGAGATACTACGCAGAATTTGGTCCCAGGAACATTTGAATTTCGATGGAGCTACAATAAGAGTCCTGCCTGAATTTTCAAGGGTGACGCTTCAACGAAAGATGATATTACGCTCGCTCCTAGACCGTCTGCGCACCGCAGTTATCGTTTATTTTTGGGGATTTCCATTTTACCTCATTGTGATGAAAAACGCCTCCACCTTTGCACTACGGAGACTGACCAACTTACCTGCCCTTTTTACGTTCGTGGACTTGGAACCTTTTCCGATACCGGATTGGTTACAACACCTGCTGGGGAGCTATGCTCGACAACGACCGACTCAACATTCTTTACCTCAACGTTCACATCAACAACGCCGGCAACATTCTTTACCTCAACATCCACATCAACGACAACTGGTCAGTGCCTCTGGAACTGTCATGGGCCTTTCTGTAACATGTCCATCAAGTTTACCTGTCAAGTGCAAGCTCTAATACCTACGAATGGGAGGAGTCAGCTGTTTGAGGTGCACCCTTACTTTCCGAGGGGGTATTTCATTTCCAGGAGTCTTGCTCTACATGTTACAGCGATTTTACATTATGTGGTCTGGGGACCTATCCTGTATGGGGCTCATGATGATGCAGTGTGTACAAATTGTATTTGCCCGCGAAGCTAGGAGTCACAGGTGGATGGCTGGTCGGTAGCTGAGGGTGCACCCCCTGTCCTTCACCTCACCACGGATGCAGGCGTGCGCTCTCTGCAGGGCCGCTGGCGAGGGCGAGGGCGAGGGCGGGCTGCTGGGCGGGCTGCTGGCAGAAGCTGGGACTGAGCCATTGCCATTGCTTCCTAGTTTATAAAGTAAGTGCTAAATATTTTCGAGTTACTAATGTGAGTGGATTACCACTCAATTACGCCCGGGCC